TGTATAGAACAAAAGAGATTAGCTTCCAGCAGTACTAGGCTTTTATCCTCTAGCCAGCTGCTAGAGGGGGACATGTAACACACATTGGACCAAAAGGACACAGGATGGAGCCAGGCACAAGCAGAAAAACGGGCTTTCACCCGCCTGGCGCTTTTGTTTTATAATTACTGCAATTTACTGAGGGTCCAAAAGATTCCAGGAAATAACAAGGAAACAAAAGCCAGGTCTCCATGGGAAGAGCACGATGTGCGCGTCTCCTCAGTAACATGCTGCAAAACAAATAGCAACTTCCTCCACATTCCTCTTCCAATTTAAAGAGACAGTCCACAGAAAGCAAAGGCATCACTGCTTCAAACTACGTACAGCACCGGGCGCAAGGTGGTCTAGCTTAGAGAACGTACCTGACTTATACAGGAAAAACGAAGGCTGTGCCGCATCTATGATGACGGACACAGGTCCGATATTGGCTACGGCATCCTTCAGGGCTGCTTCATCGGCATACGGGAGCTCAACGAACTTAGAGCAGGTGGCGGCTCGCGTGGCAGGGTTATAGTGACATGTTCCGTTCTGGCAGGGGCAAAGAGCAGATGAAACAGGGACATTTCAGCCTCTGCCATGAACATCTGTTTTTATCTCCCTTCTATTCCCCTCCGTTGTCTGAATCCCTCTCATTTCTTAGATTACTGCTGCTCCCTCTTCTGCCTCTGGGCATCGAGATCAGAGCTGGGGGACTAATGGATTTTTCAGTTCAGTGACTTACCCGGAAAAATAAAATTAAAAAAATCTGTTTGTTTCAAATCGAAGTAGAATTTTTTCATTATTATTTTTTCACTGAAACAAAAAATAAATAAAAAAACTTAATTCGGGTCAAATGAAACCTTTTGAATGTTAATTCAGACTGAGCTGTCAAAATGATTGACTCAGACTTGCACCTTCCTGGGTCCGAGCCCTCGATTATCTCAATTCAATGTAGATGGAAGGGGGGTAAGGCTTGAGCCTGAGTTCAAACCCTGCGCTTACATTGCAGTGTAGACATACCCAGTGTTTCTAAGCCCAGGCTTGAGCATCCACACTGCATTGTAAACCTGGGTTTACAGTTGCTGGATCCAGGTCTCACCGCCATGCTAACTGCACCATGCAGACTTTCTGACTTCGGTCTGTGGCTTGAGCTGCGTCCACACTGTAAAAGGACATGGTTTGGACCCAAGTCAGCAGGACTCGGACTCTGACCCATTCTCTCAGCAGTGTCACAGGACCTGGGGCCTGAGCACTTGCTGACCTGAGTCAGGCTGATTTGCAGGGCCGGTGCAACCACGAGGCGAACTAGGCAGTGGCCTAGGGTGGCAAGTGGTTAGGGGCACCTGGGGCCGTCCTCAGGCATAGGCAGCAGGGTAGGGTACCTGAAAATTTGGGGCACCCCTGGGTCTTAGTGTCCACCCGACTGGTTTTCCTATCCCTGTTCTGACCCTTCCTGCCGGCTCTGAGTCTTCCTGGGAAGGGGATCTAGTATCATAGAATCATAGACTATCAGGGTTGGAAGAGACCTCAGGAGGTATCTAGTCCAAC